ATTCTGACCCTTGTGGCACATCAAAGACTGATTATGGTGATAGATGAATCCTCCAAGCTCTTCTACATAACCCCCCTCTCTCTGAGGCTGCCCTTGGTTGGCCATGTTGACCTCTGCTCTAAAAGAAGCGTATTTTAGGGTCCGAGTAACCAAAGGCTTAGAGGCATTGTGGACATTTGGGTATTATATTTGCCTGTCAATGAATCAGCCTGCTTGTTTGCGAACTCAAACACATCCTGCAAATAGGAACAGCAGTCTTGGATGTGTTCAACAGAGCAATTGTATCTATTCCCAATGATACATTGTGTTTCATGTTTATCAATTTCAAAATCAAAGTGCATCTAACCAGCCCTTACTCCCCATTTATACTTTAGTGTGAGAGTTTTCAGGCGATTTTTAAAGCATTTTTTTCTTGCCTTTTTTCAAGAATTTTCAGGCTTGACTCCTGACTGCACTGTGGAAGTGACTCTGGCAGCTTTACAGCCAATCGATCAATTCCAGCAGTCAGGCAGCCGGGCTTTAAGCAATTTTCAGGTCTAAAATTTGTATTTTAACATGTGTGCAAAAATGCCAAAATGACAGCAAAAGGGTTAACGCGTAAATACAGCTTGGGCAAGATATAACTATCTGTCCCTTGCATCTGTTTAAAAAAACAGCACTGGTGCAATGCTGAGCACATCTGTCTCCCACAGACTCAACGATCCAGCAATGCTCTGCTGCTCTTATTTCAGATTTATTGATGCCCAGCAGCCATTTTCAGGACCACAACCCTTTTGGGTTTATAGATGTCACATCCAAGCAACAGTTTATGAACATTAGATCAGGTTAAAATCAGCCACTGGAACACGTTAAACGGAATGTATAGTTCTTCTGTACATATTTAAATTTTTTATTATGGTTAGGACTAAAAAATAATTTTTTAATAAATGTTTTTCTTTTTCTCCATGTATTCTTATACGCAGAAAGCAAGTGGAGCCCTTTCCATGTTTTCCTGTTTATCCTTAGCTCCTTTGGTGCAAAAAAACTGTTATATATATATA